TAATTGGTAGTCCTTGGTCTCTTGGAACTTCAAACCATAGAGGTTTGTTAGGAAATCAACTGGTTTTGGGATCTTCTGAAACTAGACAGCGTAGTGGAGACTTCGGCCGGATGACTAATGGATATTCCATTAGAAGCATTCCATCTGGCTGTAAAAAGAACAGGAAATGCTCTGGAAAGCTGTACATAGATATAGATGAACCCAGAGCACCTGCTCAACCAGAATTTCTAGCATCTAGTTTTTGCAACTGTCGCATTGTTATGTCTGGCATGCAGTTGCAGTCCGACTCAGTGTTTGTCCTAGTTGACCCACAGCACTTGCACTTGAACCTGCGTTCTAACTGATTCATGAGTGCATGAGATACAGATACACTCGCAGGACAGATATGCCTATGTAAACATAGACGAGAGTCATATTTGTGGCTCATTATTTAGTTAGACACTTGTTAGCCAAACAAATAGTGACCACAATTTCACGATGAGTCAGCGCAACTGCTCAAATATCCGAGTATGATCTCGTATTCGCCCATTCGCGGTGACTTTCCCAGGCGCCAGGCTGGTTATCCAACACACAGTTTCACACCCAATATGTTAAGTATACGCCAAGTGCAACCGCCAGGCAAACAGAGTATCTGAGGATTGTCCGGCCGTTAACTAAGCGGAGCAATCACATAAATCAATAACTGAAGCTGTTCGGGCTGTTATTGTTGTTTTTACTGATGATGCGAGTCAACAATCTTCTCAGGGCAGACCGTTAACCGGCTCGTTAGGGTGCAGGAGTCGCAGTCCCAGTCGCAGTCGCAGTCGCAGTCAGTGGCATTGCCTTATCAGTCAAGAAGAGTGTGGCCCCGCCCGTGCTGGCACGCCTAATGAAACTGTTATTGACAGCGCATAAATATTTGCATTTGTCATCTGAGCGCAAGATATTGTATCTGTATCTTAAATATTGTATCTGTGGGTACATGCGCGTATCTGCACCCACTTTCCCAAGCAAATATTAGCTTTGTACATTGCAATAATTGTTATTAATGAGCTGCTGCTGCTGCTGCTGCTTCAACTTCTGCGCACTCTTATCGCTGACAAAAGCCAATTAATTACGAAGCGAAAATATACTTTAAAAATCACGCGCTTCCAGCTGCGACGTGCAATTTGTTGTATGTTGTCTCTCGCTGGCCGGCGGCCACATGGTCGATACTCTCTATTCACAACTTAATGAATCAAACGTCATCATCATCATCATCATCATCATCATGATCGTCATCATTGTCAGTGTCAGCGGTTTTTGTGTTGACCTCCAGCAACAACAGCTGCAAGAAAAAGAATACGAAGAGCAGCTCGCACTGCGATTCCAATACCAATACAGTAGCTGACTTCAGATGCTTTCCCTAACAAGTTGCCGACTGCCACTTTGCTGGGCCTAAACTTACTAGTACAAGTAACTAGTTGGTTATTGATCTCCTTGAGCTCATCTGGTCAGAGACAGCTCAAAGATGAGTCGATGGCTTATGATTAAGCCTTGGCAATCGAATGCCGGATTCAATCTGGTTTTTCTTTTATCAAGCAAGTTGATATTGCATCTGGAAAATATTGACAGATGGGCTGACGAGTATTCTGGCTTATCATTAAAAGTACAGATAATATATATATATATATAATATAATAGAGAATAATAGAATAGAAGTATACTAATATCTTTTTCTGCCTGTTACATTGATTTGCACGAAACTATTATACCCTATTTTCGACTTATTTACATCTACAGGGTATGCAAAGCTCCCCTGCAAGCGTATATAAATTGCTGAATTATTTGAAAATAAAACAAAACCTTTCCATTCGTTTATTCGCCGTATCATTTACTAATTGCTATTTAATTATGAAAATATATTATTGCAAAGTCTTCTCTGTGCGGGTCACGGGTCAGTTATGGATCGGAACGGATCTTCCGACGATCTTTGACTGCAAAAGATCGCTGGGGAGCACACAACAACTACAACAACATTGAGTAAAAGCTCTCTAATTGAGAGTGCCCGACTAGGAGATACCCTTTATCAGTGCCGAGCTGCTTTTTGGCAGCGTAGGCTCTCCTGATTTCCTCGCATTGGCTCGGTGGGTCTATAACAGCCCACTCTTGTTCAAAGGGTACAGGGTATTCAAGCGTGAGCTGCTTGCTGAGTTCGACTTTTGTGTGCCTGCAGATCGAATTGTGAGTCTTGTGGGCTGTGCGAACCGGTTAGCCCAAGGGAAAGAGCCAAAATGAGACCTATGCATTACGAACTTGGCAATTACCACAAGGCACTATGGGGATAACACTCACAAGAGCTACAGACACTGTGCAGCGCGCTATTGTTGCTGTTGTTGTTGTTGTTGTTGTTGCTGCTGAAGTCGTCTCATATTGCGCATACGCAGCGTTGCCGTTCGCCGTTGACAAATACTCTGGAGCTTGCAGTTTGTGATTTACAATTTGTCATTTGCTGCTCTTGCTTCGTTTTTCCGCTTTCCTATGCACTTTTCCAGTTATGCTTCAACATTTGCCCGGTGAGGTTCGCTTCGTGATGGTTTCAGCTCGCTAAATTCGCTTCAGTTTCGGTTTCAATTCTGAGTCGTCGATCGTTGTCGTTGTTGTTGTTATCGTTGTTGTTGTTGTTGCTGTTGAGAACTAAATGCTGGCCCCCAAAGTGTTAATTGGCAGGTGTCGAGCTGCCCCTTGGTACTTGGCAGCCGGCAACTCGCCGGCCAATTTGTTTATGTGTCTATTTATAAATATACATATATATTTGTATACATATATAAAATAATAAAAACAATAGAATTAATTGAAATTATCGCTCAATGTGCCAATAAAAACAAGCAACAATAAAACAAAAACAAAAACAAAAACCGCGTCCCGCTCCCCTCTTCCCATGCCCCACTATCGGCAGCCTCTGGCGCCATTGTCGTTGCGGCTTATCAGCTGCCTCTCAAGTACACTCGAAATTCTCGTGATGCACACACGCAAATTGCCCCCCATATCCCCCCCCCCCCTCTCCGTCATCACTCACATCCACTCCAGCAGCAAGCTGTTCTCTCTTGAGCGTTAGAATCGGCCAGCATCAATGCATATTGATAAATGGCAATTGTGCAGCTGTTTCGCCCGTTGCAGCTGCACATCTGCACATTGAGTATACGCCGCATTGGCCGGCCTCCGTCGTTTTAATGCGATCCATGCTCCATCGCGAAGCAAGTCTCTGTATGAATTTGCATATATAAGTATATATACACATTAATTCAAATGTAAATTATTTCGATCAGCTTCTACTCAAATAAATGCGTCCCGCCATCAAGAGTAGCAGCTGTGCAAAGTTAATATGAAGACCTTAGCAACTAATATTACAAAATACGCTTACCCATGAAATAGACCGCTTTCAATGGAGCAGATAAAATGCTATCTTCGGCAAGCCAACAATTAAATACCCTTGCACCCTTCTTTGTGGCTTAGAAGTGCTTTAAAGCCAACGCATTCTTTTCGCCCGATTGTTCCTATTGGAGCCAAGTCTGATATCTCGAGCTGAACATTTAATTGACAACTAATATGGCAGCCATATGATCCGATGCTTAGTTAACCACAATTAGCTTACCTTGTTGGCCCTTTTGTCAGTCTTGGGGAAAACCCTGTATCGATATGAGTGAGTTACAAGTAGAACAAACAATATGCACGTATGCAAATGGAATAGCAAATGAGCACAGCGCAAGACGTAAAAGCAGAGTTTTCAATTATTGAATATACAATGAAAGAAAAGTGCAAAATAAAATCGATGACAGCAGCAGAAATAGACGACTTTAAATGAATTTCACTATAATTGATTGTGGCCTTCCAATGAATTTCTATTTGAGGCGAGGTCGCTTCAGTTTCCCAACATTCGTCATCCCAACTACAGCGTAGCTCGGCTTCTACTCAATGAATGCAACGGATATAGAAATCAGATCCAACAGGGAATTGCTGTCCCAATTCTCATTAACTTAACTCTCTTGGAACTCCGCGTTTCATGTAAGAATCTTTTTAGATTTGGGGACTCGACACGCATTTCAATTTCAAGCTGATAAGCAGAGCTACAAAAAAAAAAGAAACCCGAGTTAGACAATTAATTGTCTCTGCTAGCAAATGCTCTCGGATACTTTACATATTGAATTCATTGACCAACATGCAAATAAAACAATCATAAAATAACCAATTGATATCAATAAAACGCAAGCGTTCAAGTAGCCGAAACACAAATCGAAATCGAAAACGAAAACGGACCAAAATGCGCGCCGTCTACGACTTATTGCTGAGCAACGCCTTTGATCCCAGGTATGCACAAAAGATATAAGATCCAGCAGTCCAGGTACAAACAGCTGCGATCTACATATATATGAGGCAGGGCCTGCCAGCTAAGAAAAAGAAAGTCGATGGTTCGGTTGCGGATTCGAACCAACTGCAACCTGCTTTCAACATTGCTGAACTCAGGCAGGCGTTGATTAAAAACAAATATAAACACAATTTTCATTTATAAATATCCTCGCCCATTGACATGAGTAAAAAGGATATAATAGCTTTTTGCTAATGTACGCAACGAGCAGGAACAAGCGTCTCCGATCAAGAGGGCGATCTAAGTCGATCTATCCATGTCAGTCTGTGAACAGCCCAAGCTTCTTTATAATATCGATTTTAAGACAGAGCTTGAGCTAGATACATCAAACATACCAATATTCTTCCCTGTTTTCCCCAAATTTGAGAAAACTGAAACTCTTTTGTATGGCAAACTGAAGACCTCAAACACCGATATTATTGAAGAATGCTTATAAAGGGTATTAACTAATCGGTTACTCCCGACTAAAGTCCTTGTTTTTTTTTTTTTTATAGATATACCATACCATAGTGAATCCTGCCAAACTTATTTACCATATCATAATTAATCCTAACTTTAAGTTGCATGCCTTTCAAATGATACTCATTCATGTTCTCTCTCTCTCCTTGATTAACAGCATGGTGCTACAGAACCACAACACCGTGGTGGCCCGCTCCACGCTGACGCCGAACAGCAGCAACCAGAACTTCGGCTCTCACTCGCAGCATGGCGGGCAGACAGTGGGCGGAGGACGTAGCCCAGTCAATGCCGGGCCAGGTAACCAGCGTCCGATTGTGGATCTGCTTGTGGCCATGGTGGCAGTGCCGGTTCTGATACTGTGCGCCCTGCAGCTGGAAAAGAATCTGCATGACATGCACGACAGTCCCGAGTCCCGCTGGCTGGTCTTTGCCCTCGGGATCGGCATGCTGGTGATTAGCGTGATCATCTGCGGCTATGTGACACATCGCATGGGCGTCTGCATTTGGGCCGGGCCCATCGACGAGGCGGGCAATCGTGCCGGCAATGGCGCACTGCATCACGTAAGTGTTTATGGCTATTGGGCGACATGATGACGGCAAGATCATTGCTGTATTGCAGATCAACTCCCAGAATGATGTGCTACGCATTGTGGACTCCTTGCCGCCGAGCTATGACAGTGTGGTGAAGTGTGATCTGCCCCCGCCGCCTTACGACTGTGTGGTGATCGATGTGGAGCAGCACAAGGACATGCAGCCGCAGACATCCGCCAAGGATGAGCGCCTCTCTCAGGCGGCAGCCGGTGCCATTTCTGTTGCCATGCCAGGTGCAACGCTGCACATCTGAACGGATTGGTGGCACCAGAGAGCTGATGCGACCAGAGAGCTGATGCGACCACAAAAGAAGAAGAGGAGAGAGAAACAAAGAGATTTTTCGCTTGTGGCATTGAAATTGACTAGAAATGGAATTTGTACTTCAACTACACTACGCTAACGCCATCTATCGGTGGCCTCTGGCTATTGGCTAACCAAATGGCGTTGTATTTACTTCGATTTAAGATCTTAGAGTATTGTATATCCGTGTACATATATGTACTTTATTTTTTTTTTTTTTTTTTTTTTTTTACTTGGTCTATGCAGCATTGTAAATATTCCTAAACAGCATCTAGTCCAAAATTGTACATAACCTAAAACACAAAAAAAAAACAAGAACTAGGGATCTAGAGAAATGCGAAATACATTTTGTATTTACTAGTTATTTAAATGCCGAGATTGTAATGGGAGGAAGGGGGCGACAGATGGCAGGGGGGTTGCATAGTTGCATAGCAGTTATCAATTACCACATAGTCTGTAGTTTTATAATTTATATACTTAAAAACATACTAAATATATACAATTACCTATGCACATGAATATGTATGTGCCTATCGAGAATTTGTACGCATTACTTATTGAAAAAGTTTACTTTTTAGCTAATTTCCAAAATAAAGAATTCCTATTAATATTAACGGCAAGACTCAATCCTTTCTATTAACTCGCATTCAAGAGCAAGAGCAAGAGAGCAAGAAATACATATGACTTGTGTGGTAGAGCGGCATAGCTGTCCTCTTATCTCGCTCACACTACACGACAGTGCTTTGGCTTACTCTCTCGCTCTCTTTTTCCTGAAACGCCAAGGGATTCATAATACAACAGATTCCGATGATTGATCCAACATATGCCGCCATCAACTTCAATAATGTTAAGTATGTTTCAGGATTCCATCTGGGTTGTCGTGGACAAGGCAAAAATCTCGATATCACTAAAATTTTGCAAACTGCATTTATTTGTTGTTGGTTGTTGTAGATGTTTTTACTCACAATCAAATTTTGAATTCCTGTTTTTTTTTTTTTTTTGTGTTTTACAATAATTCACGATCTTTGTTGTTGTACAATACATAAAAAGAAATTTGTGTGTGTGTGTGTGTGTGTGTGTGTTTGTGTGAAGAGGTTTTCGTGTATATATTATATATCGACAAATATATATATAGGTGTAAGTATATTGATAAAGTAAACATGACTCGACTATTTTAGTGTGCCTGCCGCTGCTTCTGCTGATGCTGCTAATGTTGTTCATTAGTTGTTGTTGTTATTGTTGTTGTTGTTGTTCTGCAGTCACAGTTGCCGTTGTTTATGTGTTTATGTCTTTGTTGCCGCCGCCGCCACCATCGCTTCCAAACCGACGCCTAACGCTGAGTCTGGCGATTTCACTGATATATACATGTATAAATATATATATATATATAAACGTGTGTGTATATGTACGTGCCGGACTGCGTGTGTGTGTGTTTGTGTGTGTGGTATACAAAATGTATGTAAGAAAGGACATAGTGTTTTTGTGGGGTTGGGGGTTGGTGCTTGGGGAGGGGGAGTGGGGGTGGGAAGGCAGCCTGCAAATTGCGAAAACTGAGCGGACGATCAATAACTATTGCAACTAGCCCGCACAAGATCTTCATATGCATATGCATATGCATATATATATGTTATATACATATATATGCATAAGTATTTATACATATTTATATACATATATATATATTTTAATATCTATCTGGAGCTAACTGATTTTAGAAACCATCCAACTAACTGAATACACTTCCATTTCGTGCGCTCAAGAAATTAACATTGATTAGAGTGTGCCCTAAGCAGAGCCTGTTGATTATATAGATTATAGATTACAGTTTAGAGTTTACATATATATATATATATATATATATATTTTTTTTTTTCTTTTTTTTTTTTTTTTTGAGATTACAAATGACATTTCTATATACAAGAATCAAGAATCCGTTGGCGCTTTAAAAAAAAAAAAAAAAAAATAACTACAAAGGAACGCAATGAACAACGAGCAAACGAAGAAGCAACAACATGCGTTTATATTTTGAAGAAGCTGGTTTTAAATTATTCGTATATGTTTTCTCGGGGACGGTGGATCTGATTTTATTTCTTTTTATTTATTTATTTTGTTTTTATATATATATAGTTGCTGCCCGTCTGTCTGTTGGCAGGCTTTGTAACTACACAGTTTTCAATATAATAACTAGGGGAGAAACAATCGTTCGGCCGGCCTGCTAATCAAATTATCAACAAGTTTATCTAATATTACAAAAAAAACAAAAAAAAATATATAGAAACATACACATACATATATATATATATATATGTGTATATATATTTATATATATATTAATACATATATACATATATATTTATACATATATATACATATAAATATATATTTATATATATGTATAAATATATATATAAACATATATATATATTCAATATGTATAAGAAAAACAACAACCAAACACGCAACTTAATATTTAAGTGGTTCCAGGGATAAGGCGCTGGATTGATGGGGTGCTAGCTTTTGCGGATGTATCCGAGCTGGGTTTGGTGGAGTGTCTGTGTGGTTGTGGTTATGGGTGTGTAGGTTATTCTTGTGATTGTGGGTGGGGCGCACACAGGATAAGTAGTAGTAAAATGCTTAGACGTAAAAATATGCTCTCCTAATTTGTAATAATCACATTAACTGTCGCCGCCTTTGTCATCGTCGATAATGCTATCGTTATCGAAAATGACAATGCTATCCTTGTCGTTATCGTTATCGTTATCGTTATAGTTAACGTTAACGCTAAAGCAACTGCTATCGATATTTTTATAGCTGTTCGCATTGTATTGAATTAGGGAGCATGCGGACTACATGTGATGCCACTGTGTAACCGCCACATTCGCATGCTCATTAAGACGGGCAATCTCCTCGTGCAGATTGTGTCCCAGCCACTGTAGAAAGATGCGATCGTAGGCAGCCTTGCAGAGCCTGAGCGGATTGCCGCGTCTCAGCCCCTGATCCGTTTCGCCGTACTCATCCAAATAGGGCGGCTGCACAAAACAGCCCTTGCCACGGCCCAGGTATACCACCTGGCAGTCGCGTATGCGCAAAAATATGCCCACCTCGGCGCCGCAATCGTGGGCGTGATGCGTACAGGCGCCCACCGCCGTCTTGCCCAGCTCCGGCTGGCAGCAGTACGACTGACCGCACAGTATGGTGCCGCATATTAAGCACATGGTCGGCGTTTTCATCTCCTCGCGCTCGTTGTTGGGACAGAAGATGTCCGAGACGCTGTTGATAAGATCGCTGTAATCCTCGTATAGCGTCACCAGACGCGGCAACGGCCGCTGACATGGCACTATCGATATCGTATTCGAATGCGCCTGCGATGAGCCGGGCGTCGCCTGTTTGATGGCGCAGCGCTCGTTGAGCTCGCGCCTTATGTGGGGATGCGAGGCGAAGCTCTGCATGATGGGAGCGTACACCGATTCCATGTCAAAATACACGCCCAGCTGAGGATCCAAGCCCAGGTACTGGCACATCAAGCCGAAACGATCAGGCTGGTCAGTGGGAAACGAATCAGGAAAATCGATATCGGTAATGCAGCGATAGAAGAGACAGGAGCTACGCAGGAATGAGCTCATCTGGCGGCGCACATACTCCAGCAACTGAGCCAGACACTTAACCGGGTCGTCCAATAGCGCGCTCACTCCCATCTCCATATCCATTTCTTCATACTCTTCTCTCGGCTGCCCATTCCGCTCGAACTGGCGAACGCCGAATGCCAAATTGTGTTTAACATAGAAGCTGGCCATGTTATGCCTGATCTTAGTAGGCAGCTGCTCCACGTACTGCAACATCGCTGTCAACTGCTTCTCCTTATCTTCATCCGAGCGAGAGGCCACTTCCGCCTCGTAGTCAAAGCAAATGATCGCCTTCGTTATATTGGCCAGGAAACACGTCTGCAGTATGTAATAGTCAAACATGCTGCCGCTGGGCAACATTGTCTTGTTCTCTGTAAATAGAAATTGATTGCATATAGTGCCGTGCACTATAAATGTGTGTGTGTGTGAGTAAGAGTAAGAGAGAGAGTGTGTGTGTATGTGTGTGGTAGATATATAAACTAGTATCCTGAACTGGGCGATTATGGAAAATCTCAAATCCCATCAACAAAATCTTTATCAACTTATCCGAATAAGTTTAAATGCAATTTAGCTTAGATCGATTCTTCACATAGATGAATTAATTCACTTTATGATTCAAAATTGGTTAGACTTTGAAAGCTACATTTTTTGTACTAGATTCAGGGATTCTGTAAGCTGAAACTGTGAAAAATTTGTAATAACCTATTGTTTGAAACTTTTTTGTTGACCATCCGATCGGTATCAAAGTGATTTTCCAAGATAACGCTTTGCGCAAATTCCATTTGTTGGGTGAAATATGGTTGTTATGGTCAAAGTGTGACACCTTTTGGAAAATCCGCCCACAAGGTATGTATGCAAACATTTTGTTTCTATCCGATCGGGCTTCAAATTCATTTTCACTTATCTATTCAGGGATTATTTGGAAGACATATCAAGGAGCTGTTTGGAGACACACGCTCTTTGTGTTCCTCGGATGTGGATCAAAGATCAAATGGACAAAACCCACTAATTGCGCACCAGAAAAATGTAGTTACATAGATAATAAAGTAATCAATTAATCAGTTGCATAGCTTTAACTAAATTAAGTTGCATGCCAAAGTTCATAAATACAGCTTAAATATTAGAATGATTTAAATCAACTAGAGCTGTTGTTGCTGATGATCGAGAACATGAACATCAGGGTGACGGATAATGTCTGCTTTAGCATATAAATTGAATGCCCCTCATGGGCCAAGTAAGTAAGCCTGTGAGTACTTACCATCGGCGGCGACAAGATTGGGCACAGTAAAGTTGAGCTGTACCAGCATTCGGAAGCAGTCCCATTCCAGGACGCTGGTGCCCTTCTGATTGAATATGGTCTCGCACAGCTTGGCGCCTTGCACGCTCTGCTTGGTGATCTGCGGCTCTTTCAGACTGACTGAGTAGAGAGCGCAGGCACGCACCAAATTGCTAACGCAGCTTTGATGCCGCATGGGCAGTTCGGCCTTCAGGGGCTTCTGTATGGCATATAGATAGACCTCTAGTGACTGCAGCGTGTAGTAGCAGGTGTCCCACAGCAGCGACACGGTGTCCAGATCGCTATCGTCCGCATTTGGCGAATCCTCTGACTGGTGTCCCTGCAGCTGGCTCTGCATGGCGTTCCGTAGCGCTGTATGGAACGAGCCCATCACTTCTGTCCAATTAATATGCAAGGTAGGCTTTTGTATGATCTGTGCGCTACGCTCAAACTGGGACATGTTGCCAATAATGCTGAATTTTTTGGGCAAGTTCATTAGCGCAATTGATGATCCTTCCAAAGTCAACTTGCTGATCATAAGTAGCATTTCCACAAAACTGTCAAGCGGCATATAGTTTTCGGCTGCTTGCGTCAGCGATGGCGGTGGAGGTGGCGAGAACTTTGGCAATGCCTCACTGACTGGAAGCACTGTGTTGCTCAAGGTGCGGCAGTAGGGGCAATGGAACTCTACGTTCTGCGTCTGGTTTGGCAACACCCGATTGCGTTGCGGCCGGCGCTGCTCCTTGGACTCCTCGCTGCTGTAGTACTCCTTCCAGCAATTGTGATGCATTACATGTCCACAGCAGCTAACGTGCAGCGCTGATTTCGGGCCCTCAGGGATGGCCGTGGTGAAAATGACGCGCGATGTCTGCACAAAAGCGGAGCTGACCAGCGGCGGGCCGCTGCTGGTGATGCTGCAGTCCTCAAAGCAAAGAATGCACTTGAAGCTGTTGTCGCCCGCCTCATAATGGCTGCGCTGTGGGCCCAGGCAGGCTACTGTCTTACAAGTATCCGGCACTAGAGCAGCAGCTCCCTGCTCCTCCAGTGACTCTGGTATTTCCTCCCATTCCATCATAGAATCGTTTGGTTTCTGCGCTGCACCTGCAGTGCCCTCATCGTTTGTGTTGGCAAACATTTCTGCATTGGACTTCATGAAGGACTTCTGTGCATTCTCGATTTGAGCCATAATCTTGGCGCGGCGCTCAGCGGCCAACCGTGACCGGGCCTCTTTCTCTAGGCGTGCCTGCTGCTCGGAAGACAGCGGCTGATCCTCGCCTTGCTGCGACTGCTGTTGGCTGCTGCCCGAGCCAGCAGCTGCCGACGAGGAGCTGACGCTGGGCGCCTGTTTTGCCTGCAGATCCTTGTACCGTTTAATGGTCCACAATACAAAATCGCGATGAGCCTCCAACTAAAAGTGAACAATTGTGAACCCTGTCTTATGAAATCAGCTGAAGTCGAATACTTACACGTGGGCAACGGGCCAACTCCTCCAGTTTTTCTAGCACGTAATACTTTTGCGATCGCTCATAGAAGCTGAGGAACGGGTAATGCTCGCTTATCTCCTCCTGTATGGCAAAGCCCAGTAGATGCAGCACCTGTAATGGCAGAAATAGAAAATATTTTAGAGTCTGCTTCTGCTGCAATTTCATTTCCAGCTCTTGCCTTCTGCAAATGACTTTCGGTAAAGGAACGACTGCGCGCATCCAATGCACGATCCATGACCATCGTGGTGATCTCGAGGAACACGTTGCACTGCAAAATGTTGGCCATTGAGCTGCAGAAGAAATAAAATGTAAAAATTAGATATAATCTAGCTGAGTTTTCAGATAGTCTGCACTTACGTGAAGGCCGGCGTTAACTGTGGCAGCATTGGCGGCGGACAGCAAACGAGCTGTTTTTTGGCCTTGCGACGCTCACGTTGCAGCTCCTCGGCCTTGGATTTGTCCTCCTTGGTATAATGGTAGAAGTATACGTTGAATTCATCGTAGAGGTGCTCTTTTAGCTCATAGACACCCTTGCTGTCGGTGCCGACGGGCTTCTTGAAGACGGCCACCGTGTTTATGACATCCTCGATAATGCTGTCGTTGCTGCCGCTGTTGCCGTCGGGCAGAGCGCGCGACAGCTCCGAGTGTGAGTAAGATTTGGTGCAGAGCAGTTGTATGATCTCCTTGCGTAAGCGATCTTCCTCACTGACAAGCGAAACGCCCGGCATCCAACGCTCGCCAATAATGACAATCAGAAGCTCGAGGAACTCATCGGTCATAGACAGCTGGCGCATAAACTCGTCATCCACCGGTGATTGGGCCAGACCAAACTCGTATTCGGGCTGCGCCCAGGCGATCATGTTGAATTTGTTTAGCAAGTGAATGAGAAACTCGTTGCTCTCCATTAGCGAGGCGCCAATCTGCAGGCAAACTATATCCCTGTCCAACATCTCGACACGGCAGCGTACATTTCTATAGAAATATAGCTGATGAAGGAGCGAATAACCATTGCGTCTCCACATGCCAGCAGCGACCTGGGCAATCATCGCCTGAGTGCACAGCACTGGCTCAATAATTTCGCGTGGCGTTAGCTTTATGTTCAGCGCCTCCGTCTCGGCCAGAAGGATGTCATAGGTCATGTCGTGCGCTCCCAGATGCAGATAAATGCCCGCATAAAAGCGCGACAGCGGTAAATGTATCGAAACCGGTCTTGTAGATACGTCATATATTAGACAATTGGCCACATGGTCGGCAACGACCTTTGCTTCCACCTTCTCGTTGCCCACAATGAAGCTGTTATTCACAAGCGCACGCACCGTCATCTTGTAGAGCTTGCGCAGCAGCTTCACATCGCTGGCCGCCCACTCGATCACCTGCGATATGGTCGAGGCCAGTTTAATGTGCAAATTGAAGGCGCACTCCCACTCCGGCTCGTAGTCCATATGCTGGCCCATTTGGCGAGTTATCGATTCCATGCCCTGCATTACATTCAAGACACGCATAAGAGCCTTGCAGCCTAAGGAAATGATAGAGAAAACATGTTATTTTTTTTCTTTAATATAAGCAACAGCTAGTTAACAACTCGCTTGACCAATTTAACGAAAATATTATATGCAAACATCCGATAAAATCGGAAAACTAACTAGCTGACAATGACTAATACTCACAGAAAAATTATTTAAATTGACAAATTGTATTGAAAACTTTAACCTTTTCACCGAATGGCCAAAAAATAATTGTTAGTTAATTATGCTATTAGTCTACTTTTCGCTTCTGTAAGCGCGGATGTTTAAATGATTTTTTAGCTCGCGGTAAACATTTTAGAAGTATTCATAAGTATTTAAAGAGCGAGCAAATACGCGTTAGCCTAGACACGTATTAGCTTAAAAGCTTGAAAGATATTTAAATAGCAACCAATTGATTTAACTAAATCACCATCGATTGACATAAATTGTTGGCCTTCACATGTAAACAGACCGACAGATCAGACAAGGAGGCATGCAAGTTCATGAACTAGAGTTAGATAGCGATATTATGAGAAAGAGATAGATAGCTAGGGAAAATTAGAGAAAAAAGAAATATTCAGAAACCAAAAGGTTGAGAAAATTGAAACTAACCCTCAAGGAAACCGCTGCGAAGCTCACTGCTAAGCACTTCAGGCTTCAGACTGAGCAAATAACGTAAATCGTAGAGTATGTAATTGGCTCGCTTAAAGAACGCCATGCTGGCAATGTTCTTGCTAAAGTGGAGCGTGCGATTGTGTATAAACTTCTCGATGGCGACGTGATAGAACGTGTGTAGCAGCTTGTCAAAGATTCCCTCATGGGCGATCAGATGATGAGCAATACTCGGGACAGTGAACAACTGCACACTGAGCGATACAATCGAAAAGGAGTGATCGTGATCATCGCTAATAAAGTCCTCCACAATGGTCGCATAGCGTCGCGAGAATTCCTTAGCGAGCACCATTTTGTTCTCGTACTCCATGAGCATGCCGGAGATGAGCAGACGATGCCAGCAGGTGCGAGCCGTCTTCCATAGCTTCACATCGTATTCGAGTATATGGCGAATGCAAAAGGATTCGTTCTTAAGCTGCACCAGTGTGGCGAACGTCTTCCGGAATAGATAATGACGCACAAGGAACTCTTGGAACCAGCTGAGTAACTGCAGCGCAAACTGCTGGCACGCCACCGAATTGATATTGAGCACTGATGTGCGCAGCGATTGGCTGTGACGGGCATTGTTTAGCAGACCGCTAGGCGGTATATTTTGATTTTCAATGGCCGTCTTGAGTTCGTTGCACTCCTTGAACGTATCACACTTAACAACGGCTCGACCCTCACGATCGATGGCAGCCACAATCTCCATGGCATCCCTGTGACGGCACTTTGCGATCTTTGTCAGCGTATTAATGACCTGATCAAAAGTGTGCGACTCATCATTGTACAGCACCGTGCAGAAGTTGGCTCCATCGAGCTCTCCATCCAGACACTGCAGACTAGCATTCGGCTCAATCTCCAGATAGTTCACACAGAATGCCAATATGGCGCTGAAGCAAATTTCTGCGCGCTCCAGCACGGCACTGGTTATGATTTTGCTCTCAAGGGGATTCTTGCGATTCGCCTGGAAAAATATGAATATCATTTAAGATAGGATTTTCGGGCCGATCGATTGCATTTACTCACCAGATGCAGCTCGCAGTATTGATCACGCTTCCAGGCCTCATCGTCGCCGCAATCACAACAGCCACCACCGCCGGAGCTGGACATTTTATACCTATGAAAGCGATGCGCCGAACGCTTAAAGCAATTGACGCACAGCACACAGGTCGGATCGACGCCACATTCGCGGCAGCTGTAAGTGGGCTCGCCATTTTTGAACACCTTGCCGCACACGGTGGCCGTGTTTCCCTCTAGTCGTAGCTTCTCGAGTGCTGTCACCGGACTATCGCCCAACATGAACTCGACAAGCACATCAATGATCTCCTCTTTGGCCAGCGACTCCTTGAACATGCATTTCACTGTAATTAAGGGGGTGAAGGCATAGTCTTACTAACAATTGTTCAAGGACCGAATAGTAAGGAACTAAGAAGCGACTACAACTACTGCGATCTCGGCTCAATTTGCAATGTTCAGCATTCAACTTGCAACTCGCATTTGGCAACTGATGAACTGCACCCAGTTTCAGTGGAGCTGTCAACTTACAGGACCCGCAAGTCACGGCGTGCTTTGACTCCTGCAAGCGCTTGATCTCTTGCAGCAGCTTGGTAGTCTTCGCGCTCAATTGGACTTGCTCTTCGAGGGGCATATAATCAGAATACATGGAGTTATCATCATCCGACTCATACATTGCTTCATCTGCTTAGCCCGCAAAGGGATGAGTTCATGAGTTGGGGAAAGGATATGCTGCATGGTTAATTTTAAGGTTCACTTTATATCATAGGATTTGTGTTGTTCTGACCGCTGGAGTCAAGACTTGTATAAAGGGGCTGGGTTCATTATTTGTCTCACAATTTCCCTACATGTTCATGTGTGAAGTGTCAGTTTTTTTGTTTTTTTTTTTTTTTTTGGTGCTGCTGGAGCGGATGGCGCTAAGTCCAAAGTACAAATACTCACAAGTTGGTGCATTTGAATCTATAAAAAGAGGAAAAAATGAAAACAAAAACAAAATAATAATGAAAAAAAAAACCAACGAAACAAAATCACAAATATAACTATAATTTTTAGTAACTTATAAATTATAATTAAATAATATAATAAAATTTTAAAAATTCAAATTATGCTCAACTAAGGAGACGGGCACACGACTTGAAGGATTTGATAAGGTCTCGCTCACTCTCGAGAAATGGGTGAAAAATTAAAAAACTGATCATTTCTTGGCAATTGAGATTTTATGCATATATGAATATTCTATCTGTTCAAACACAATACACAAACTGGAAATAACCCGATTCCCATAACATTTTGAGTTGAGTCGAACTATAATTATGTACACATACATATGTATATATGTATATGTCTCCGGGTTTTATTGAAAACTTGTTGTTTCTAAAACCGACCAACTGGAGAGTTCAGAAACACATGAGTCAATCAGTCGGCAAGTAATATTCTTTTGTTCTAGCTTAAATATAAAAAAATACATTTATATATATAAAAAACTACTGGTTTATTGAGAGCTCATGAGCAAGAAGTTCTAATTTAAAATTGCCTTACTATTTTTTTGCCTATTCCACAAGAACTTCTTTTGTTTGTAAACAATGATGAAAACTATATGAAATTAAAATTTCGCTGACCTATGCATGCCGTTTGAGTTCAAATGCATTATGATTCAAACCTGAATAATTATACGACACACATCATCACCAGAAGCATCAACATTTGCATCAGAGGTGGCGTATGAGTAATGTACCTGGTCATATTTTCGGCTGGGCCGTGTTTGGGGGAGAGGCAGCCTGAGGCGGGCCAACAAAAAGTTAATTCGAGTGCATAAAATTTGTGCTTAAAAAACTGGTTAGTCAATGTGGCCAGCACAATAAACAATAAGTTGACATTTGTGCAAAAGCCAAACAAAGACAATGAAAATCAAAAGCCAAACTCAAAATGACACGTAAATTATGAAGCCGGGCGAGTGTATAAGAGAACGAACGAGAGAGAGAGAGAGAGAGAGCTTTGATCATGTAAGTTGTTTTTCCATGAATCCGTAAAACCCAACCGCAGCAGAGTAATCCAAGACTCTGGCCCAAAGCCGAACCAGAGATTTCATTGAGTGTTATGAGAGGAGACACAAAAATAAACAAATAAACACAAAAAAAAAAAAAAAAAAAACCTTCAGCAAACAAGTTTTGAGGTAATCAAAAATGAAATCGATTCGAGTATATATACGTAGATATCGAACACATAAATACAGTTCAAGGTCGTCTCGTTACGAAAAACCCAGCCAAAAATGGTCTAGAGAGTGCGAGAGAGATCATTTGAGTAAGTGTAAAAGAGAAACACAACGCGATCGAATCGGGGGGAGGTGCCTAATATGTATTTCCGCACAGCTTTTCGAGCTTTCTTCTATGGCGTGATAACAGCAGCGGGCAGCGAGGGGCGCTAGAGTGGTAGAGAGGAGGCGAGGGAAGCGTGGTTTCTTTACAATCGCATCTGACGTCGCCAGAGGCTATCAGCAGCTGTGTTCTTACCTACAATGTCTGCACTACATATAGTTTCTATATAGGCACGATCATACTTATATACATATAGACGGTAATAATAATGTATTTATCAATTGCGCAAGCAGCTGAGGCACAACAGACCGAAACAAAGGAACGTCTGGAACACTCTTTTGTTTCAATGTTCCATTCGATTGCCTTGGCCGTAATGCTAGTGCCCGGCCATAAGACTGTCCCCAGTCCGGAGCACGTTCCATAGGAACAACAAGACCACGAGAGTTCGAGTACACGGACACGTATGTGCACTTACAGTAACGGCCAAAATAAGTGTACCAGCTGATAAAAATCATATTGGTATTTTTTCAATTGTTTCTTATGGGGTATATCTTTCTTTGTCCTAACAGAGCTTTTGTATTAAATAGTTTCATTATATATATATTTATATATGCATTGCATTTAAATAAAATAAATCATATTTTTGTCACAAGCCAATTTCCAATCTTCAACTAAAAAACAGTTCTACATTTTTTAAGGAGTTTGTTTTAGGATCGAACTATTAGAAACCTCTCCTATCTATTTTACATTATTATATTTTAGTTTTATGATTCTTCTACTTTACAAGCTCTATATCGAAGACAATAATTGAAGAAACCGGCTGTTATTCCGATTAACCAACACAGTTTACTTCACAAGGTTGACTTAAATACAGAAAACAAAGGCAGATGCCACAAAAGAATTTGGGCAAATAATACGAGTCTGCTTCATTTAATTCAATACAATCGTTTAGCATATAACCCGTGATATACTATTTATAATTCCCAATCTGTAAATTTGATTTTTTTTTCTTTCAAACAGTGTACCTTTCAGATTCGTACGCTGACTCACATTTAATGGCCAGCACTGTATGACGACAAGCACATAAATTTGCAGTAGGTGGCTTCATTTTTTAATTGCATTTCTTGACATTCCCACAAGAAGAAAATGTCGGAAATTATTAAGGTGCTCCCAAAAGTAAAAAAAAAGATCTTCTGGAACAGAAATCGGGCAATCGACCTTATACACAAGACTACCTGATTTATATGCCCGACGGACACAAACGCCTAAATGTGTCAACCGGACAAAGAAGCTTCCGAGAACTGCGCGGAACTGGCCACGTCACTGTGCATCGGTTCGGCGATTCATTTGGGTGCATGGAAAACGTTGACGATGACGATGACGCAGACTGAGACGAAGGCGGGCGAAGGTTTATCAACTTGATAGCACTACCTGAAACCCCGACTTCTGACTTTATCAGTAAGCCATGGAGCGACAGGGCTGAGCGCGGTGTAGAGTAATTAGACGCTTAAGTGTCAACATGACAACAAAGCAATCTAAGTGTTCCCAAATCAAGAGAGCTCTACTGGAAGATACCCTGCACCCAGATTTACGAGTTTGTACCATGCCTTATAAACATTTATATAATTGTATCTATATCTTTATATTACAGCATGTATATATGCAGAGAATAGCACATGCTACCCCATTATTATATTTACAGGGTATTATAATACTGATATCACCGCCAAATTCGCAGGTCAAAGACCCGACAAGCTTAAATCCAATTGCAAAACATATTTAAACGGTGTGCAAACATCCTTATCTTAAATGGCAGGTGATATCGCAATTAGTTGCATAACAGTTAAGAGAAGGCACTTAAGCCAATCTTGGCTATCAATGCGACTCGCGTAGAACTCAAATAAGACAGGATACAGAGTGTTTAACAAGCAGAGTTCCTATTTATTTCATTTCCCTTTGTTTTGCATTCGAGAGCCCATTTCCACACTGCGTAAAATGTATTCGACTCTAAAACGTCAGTCAGTCTCTCTCAAAAGAAAATGCGTTGTAAAACAGAAAACGCATTTAATACTGCGGCTGGTCAGGTCGTTCGTGAAAATCAAACAAATCTTTGGGATAAACGAACCCTCACAAAGTCTACATGTATTGGCCGCAAGGAGTTAACTTCCAGCGCAAATGATATTTGCCTTCATCATCAGCAACAAACAGCCGAGGCGAACTGTGACTTTATGATCACGCCGATTTCCCGAAATCGATAAATATCGATTAGAGTGGGGAGCTATGTTTATTTTTGAAGAGCTCGAGCCAACCTATTGTTAAGTTCTCGTATCATCTTATATGCACATATTGCACAAGATAATGCCCAAATTGACTTATTGCAAGCACACTGAGAGAAAACTTCCGACGCAGTTCGGGAAAACTAATATCGGTTAGATTACCAACAGGCCCTGAGTCAGTTGCACACAAAAGAGGAAAAATGTATAAAAAATAATAAGTTAAATAAAACAATATGAATACCATGTAAACTTCTAACGGAATGTGGCGCAAAACGAGTTTGTTATTGTTGCTAGGCTGGGGCTGGGGCTGGGGCTGGGGCTATGTTGTTGATTTTGTAATAGCCATCGTCGTCGTTGTTGCAGGCGCTGCTTAGAAGGTGAGACAGGTAAAGTAGACAACTGAAATCGTGCAATCAACTCGTCTAATGAAAGGAAAAACGAGTGCGCGAAAATTTGCGGAAATCGAATAGACAATAACAACATGATGGAAAAATAATACAAAATATAACAAAATAGGGGAAAAAAACCAGCGAACAAACGTGCGATATTCAATGACAACAATGGCAACAACAATAAATTCAAGAGCACGGCTTGAATGTGAATATATATATATATATACATATATAAATATAAAGATAAACATACATACACATACACACACACACACACACACACACACACACACACACACACACACACACACACACTCTCACGCATACAGACATTTACTTAAGCCAGTTATGTAGGTTAAAGCGACTCACCTGTTCCCATTTCATTTTGAAAATCAAAATATTTGGGCGATTCCTTTTTGAAGTAGTCAATGAAATCGTTGCGATTCAATGTGCCAGCCTGGTGTTTGAGGCGCCATTCCTTTAATGGCGAACTGCCGTCCTGCTCGGGCACAACCACATCCTCCATATCGTAGCGATCCATATTTAGTTGTCACTTTTCGATAGGTATCGCTTCTCCACACCCCTCCTCACCGCGCCACACGCCTCTCGCCACACGCTTCCTCTTGCAACTTCTTTTACGTTTCCCTTTTTCTCTCGGCTATCACCCGAGTGACGAGTGACCGACGACCGCTTCAACGACTGAATGCGAGCAGTTGGGGTACGTTTTTATCTTTGGTCGCTCTCGCCGCACTCTCGTCGCTCTCCCAATATCCGCCGCTCCCTCTATCCACACGTTTACTGCTGCTGCTGCTGCTGCTGTTGCTGCTGCTGCTATTGACGTACGTGTGTGTGGGTGTGTGCGTGGGTGGATAGCTTGTCCTTGGTTTGCTGTAGCCGTTATTTGTTATTGTAATTGTTGGTAAGATTTTTGTTGTTCAGTTATTTTTCTTGGTTCTTGCCTATGCTGTTTTTGTTGCTGCTGCTGTTGCTGCCGCTGCTGCTGATGCTGCTTGCATTCGGGTTGTCTTCAATTTAGCTACTAAACGAAAATAATTGAACGCAATTTAATTGTATAGTTTTACTTTAATTGTTGTCGTTTGATTTATGTATATCCAAATATCGAGTGCGCGCACTAACTTATTAACATACATACAATTGATTTGAGATGAGCTTAGGTATGTATATTTGTTGTCTATGTAAGGCAATAATTTTTTTTTGTTTGCTTTTATGCGGTTTTACTTTTAATATTACTCAATTGACAATTTATACAAATGCTGCTGCTGCTGTGCTGCTGCTGCTGCTGTTACTGTTGCTGCTGCTGCTCTCTTTATTAACAGCTACATCAGAGTTATGTTTGCAACTGTTGCTTGGCCATTTTAGCAAATCTCATTTTTGTCCTTGTTTTTATCAAACTGCTACTGCTACTGCTACTGCTGTTGCTGCTGCTGCTGCTGCTGTCAGTGGTTAGTTTTGGCAGCAAAACAAAAACAAAACGCACGACGCATTGCACGATGACAGCAGAGTGCCAAGACCGTGTAAGAGAGAGCGAGAACGCGCATGCCAACAGCTAACAGCAAGAGCAGCAGCAGCAGCCCACAAAACGACATTCAGATTTTCGATTAACAGAACAGAAAAAAAAAGAAGAAAAAAAAAACATTTAGATTGAAACGCAATATATGTACATATACATATCCGAATAAATGAACATGTGTGTAAATACATACATATAAAAATGAATGTATGTATGTACTTGGCAGGCAACAACAAACTGCAGCCAGCCAGATTCTGCATGCTCGCTCAACATACACACATTCACTTGGCCATAGTAACACACATGTACATTCACACACAAGAACTTTTACATGTACTATTTGCATATGTAAGCAAGTATTTACAGCTCTGTATATGCATAATAATTATTATTGTGAGCTAAACATTGTTTTGTTGCGCTGTGTCCCGTTCCTCACACACTTTTCTTTCTCTCTTTTGATTTTCACATGCGCATGCATACATTTCTATAGTATGATATGTATGCGTTTGTACATTTTCAACAAATGTTTTTGTGCACTTCCTACGCGAAATAGACAATCGCCGATACTGGATGACCGCGTCAGGCAGCTGATGAATTATACAAGCAAGAGAATTAAAAACACTCAGCTGCACACTCACACACACACACACACACACACACACATGCTCGCACTCATACATATACATACACTATTTCTATATATATGCACATATTATGTGTACATATAGTCTTTTCCTTGGATTTAAATTTTTTCTCTTAAAACGCAGGCAGGCAGGCTGTTCAACTGGCAGCTGCAATTTCGTAATATGCAATGCACGTTTCAGCTTAGCTTTGCTTTGCTTTTCCGCTTTCAATTATTCGCGTTAGCTTTTGCTCGCGTACTACGCACTACGATTACGAGACAGATTTGGTATTTGTTGACAATTTGTATATCGATAGTATCGATATTCACTTTTCTCCATTAAATCAATGTATATAATATCTAAATATTAGGTATTCTTGTCAAAATACATAAATTTTCTTTGTATACAGTTTGTTTCTTTTGGTAAAATTGTATGCTCGGTGTTGTTAACAATATATCGATTCCAAAAATGTGACCAGACTCTTTAATTATTACCAAAATATAGATTTTTGATTAAAAATACTTTCGATTATTTTGTAAGACAGGTATAAATAGATTTCATAAAACGTATGAAGTTTGAATATTATTTGCCTACTTTATTAAAAAAAATATACATATGTATGCATATATGAAAAATATATTTTTGAAAAATTTGTATTATTTATGATGGCTTTCTAACGAGCGCGTATTTGTACATTGTAATGAAAGCGTATTTCATAATTTTATTTCATTTAGCGATGCATCGACCACAATCACAAAATTTTTAAGGCGATTGTTTTTTTTTTTTTTTTTTGAATTAAACATACTTATGCATTAACATATGATATACTCGTGTGTGTTTTTGGTAATGTACACGTTGTCAGTTTTTTTGGCCGCTTCCCGTTTTCGCCAGTTGGCTAAATACCCCGCCGCACTGGTTTGGGTGCAAAGAGTACCTTGGCGGGCTTGCACAGCTCCAGCTCGCTGCCGGGTCGCACGGCCAGGCACAGTTGTATCTCCACCAATGACGCCTCCGTCCAGACGCTGTGCGAGAGCAGAATGGTTGTGCGCAATCGTACATTCGTCTCGTGCTCACCCTGCTCCGTCATGATGGGCTTAAAGTCGGTCATCTTGGGCACCACGGTGTGCATGTGCTGGTCTGGGTACTTGATTTTTATGCGCATGTCCGCCTTCTGGGACTCCAATAGATTGTCAATCTCGGCCACGAATGGCACGGCGGCAATCAGGCCGGCGGTCACTTTGATAACGTTATCCTGCGACTGCACCGGACACGGCTCTAATATGTTGGCCATGCAGCGCCGAATTTTCTCGTTGGCCGGCGGCAGCGCCAATGGCGGCGCATGCTGCACCAGTGGCAGAATCTCTCGAAATACGCGTCCCGGCTTCGGGTCAACAATCGCGTCCAGCTTGGACAGTAGCGAGCGGGTAAAGCTGTCCGGTTCAGGCTCTCCCAACTGAGGCTTCAGCTTTAGTTTTGGGTCCACCTCCATGCTCTTCTGCTCGCCAAAGGAACTGCTGGTGCTGCGGCTGCGCATAAACGCGCTAATGTCGCCGGCGGTCTGCAACAGCATCTGGCAAGGACCTAGCGCGCTTTGCGATCTGTCGCGCACCACTAGCACCAAGTGCAGGGCGCTGGCGCGCAATCGCAGCTGCTTCACCTGCAGAATGTCGCCGTAGTTGAGCCCGGAGAACGTGTGCTGCAACTTCAGGCAGTTGCGTATCAGCTCCGCCAGCGACTCCTTAAGCGGCACACGACTGCGCTGGGTTCTGGCGCAGCGCTGCATCTGCTCGATTTGTATCTGCGCCGAGAGGAAGGTCTCCAGGAAGTTCGATGGGCCATACATATCCGAGTCGATGGCACCTAAGCGCTGAATGCAAAAGAAAAACAAAATCATTTTAATTAATCAAAATATATAAAATTAATATACTAAAATAAAATTTGCTTCAGATTTACCAAGCGGTTAAATTCGCATCTTCATTGTAAGCTAATTTCCATACTTAGTATTAAGCTAATAGGTTGCAAAGATATATGAATTACATGGCGGGGTAGGATCTATGACCTATAGATCTTTAGATTAGATAACGGGCAACGTTTGTCAGCTTGCACGGCTATTCCGGCTGCAAGTCTATGTTATTTCTAACAGGCAGATTTTCCGACTGGCAGCACTCTGCTCTAAGTGCAATATTCGTTTAAGTAAAATTCTAATACTCTGATTTTATGGCTCCAAGATTGTAACCTCAGCTAAGTGACTTTTAAACTGCGACTTTGGGAAATATTTATTTTTGACATTGTTCACGAAGCGTCTATCTGCCCAAATTTGAGGAAACTGAGAAATCAAATATATCGATTCGCCTGCTTCTAGTCTAAGCTAGGGAGAAAAATATGCTTTCATACAATATTCTCATTTTCGCCTTGTGATCAGAGTATAAGAAAATATCGCTCTCGCTCTAATCCGGTGTGATTAAACGCTTCAATTCACAGGTGGGCTTAGAAAGCGTTGGATTGTGTTGTGTAAAAGATCAGCAAAGTAATTGTCATTTTATTTGAACGTTGTTAAGGGCTTTGAAGCTCACCTGGAGATTCGATTGGGCCGTCTTGAGCAATTCAACGCGCTCGTCTGTCATCGTGAATATCTCGCCAATATGGTTGAGAATCATTTGCAGATATTCCGCTGAGCTGCCGGCGGCCTGGAGGGCATCTTCGACGCGCTTTGTTGTGGAGACAGAGGAGGCGCCTTCGATGGGCAGCTGCGGCACCAGTTTGGGCATGGAATCGCGCAGATACGCATAGTGCCGGTGGGTGGCCGTGGGCAACAGGCTGATGATGGGAACCAGGTGCTCGGCGGCGTTGAATACCAGAATAAGAACGCACAGATAGGCGGGATCCTCGACATCACGTTCGGGCGTCTCGAAGAACGGATGCACATAGAGCAGATGCCCAGTGACGGCCATCACCAAGTGCGGATGCTTCTGGCCAATCTTGCGCATGCAGGCATACGTCGAGTGTCGATCCTGTGGATATTTGGCCAACACATCGAGCAGCTTCTGCACGACCATCAGCAGGCAGGTCTGCGTGGAGACGCGGCAGGCGCCGAGCATCAGATGCAGGCCCTCGCGCACATCAACTGAGTAATCCTCTAGGGAACCGAGCATGATCTCTAGTTGATCCTCACGCAGCACTATATGTCGGGCAATGGCCGTCAGGCTGTAGATGGCCTTCAGGCGCACATCCTCGATCTCATCGTTGAACATGTCCACCAGGAAATCCAAGCTGGTCACCGCGAATTCCGGATGCGACATGGCCAGCTTGCACATTGAGCCAACCGCAGCTGTGCGCACCTCCAGGAACTCATCCTCTAGGCCGTGTACAAGTGCTCCACAGGCCCCGCTGGCTATTAGTGAAATGGTGCGCGCATCCAGATGCTCTTGCGGCGCATCGTCCGCCCATCGTTTGCCCGACGACCATTCGCCGCTGGTGACCAGATGGGCGCCCCGTTCGTGGGCGTTGCGCTTGCGCCGCAGATTACTCATCAGCTTCTTGTCCAGCGTCTGGTGCAGGAACTCGCTGCTGACATGCGTCATGCTGCCCAACAGCTCGGCGGCCAACACACGTATCTGCAGCGAGAGATCGCAGAGCGCCTCGCACACCTTGCTGAAGGCTGCATCGATCATGCGTATGTCCTCGTGGTGGCGCTCCACGTTGATAATGTAGTCCGGATGCCGGTTGCCGAGCATGTGCACCAGACGCAACGCCTCTTTGCGCACGCACTCGTAGTCATCCTTCATGGCTTCGACGGCACGCTTGTACAACACCGGCGGCAGATGGGAGCCCCGCTCGCCAAGTGTCAGCAGCGCATGCAGCGCCTGGGCACGCACGCCTGAGTCCTGTGAATCGATGTAGAAGGCCAGCTTCCAGACATACTGGCGCTCGCTCTCGTGGCAGGTGGCAAATCGTCCTATCACCAGCATTGCATTCTTCTGTGTGTGCGTGGACCCGCTTCGTAGCAACTCTTTGGCTAGGTGCGCCACTTGAGTGTTGTATGCTAGCGGCACCATCTGGCGACGCTGCTGACCAATGCGAAACAGGCACATCATGCCCTGGGCGAGCACCTTCTGTGAGGTCTCCTTGCGCAGCAGGTAGATGAAGTAGTCGATGATTAGGGTGATGCCCTCCTCTGTTCCGCACTCGCAACCCAGACCCGACAGCAGCTCCAGCAGTTTCACACGCACCGAGGTGTCGCTGTCGCGTTCCTGCAGCTGATACAGCTGAAAGATCTTTGTGGCGGTCTCCTTTAACTCGGCTATCTGCACATTCTCGTAGGTAATTTCGTCTGTAATCTTAACCAGCACTTCCAGTAGCTCCTTCGTCTGGCAAGTGTTGCTGGCACCGGTGCTCGCAGCTGGCACAGTGCCAATGCCAGGCACAATGATGCTATTGCTGCCAGTACTGACCGGTAGATAAGGATCAAGAAGTCCTAATACTTGAAGTTTCCTTTCCGGTTTTGCTTTCGGTTTGCTCGTTGGCGCCGCCAATGCCTGCAAGCGGAGCTTTTTCAGGGGCGGCACACCAACTATCGTCTCAATGAAAGTCTGCGGTTTTTTAATGGCCAGAGCCATTTTTGCACCAATGCCTGTGACTAATAGTTTTATAGTTGAGTACTTTGATTTTATCCCAGCCAAAACATGTAGTTAAACACAATTGCGTGAAATTAAGGACGGCAAAACTATCGATAATCGGAGCATAGTCGACTTGATAACACGTTGCATCGATGTTTGACTTTTTACATATCGATGTTTGTTGTAAAACTTTAACAGCCTTTTACTTTAACAGCTAGCTTTGCAAACTAAATATGCTTTATTTAAGTCAATTAGGTTACATTTCATTTTCTTCGACATTACCTTAACATTTGATATTCACATAGCTTCTCAGCTGATCGTGTTGCCCTTAGCATTATGTTAGCTCAATTTTGCGCTATGTTACTCTTTTATGCGTTAACATTGCCCGCTTGACACCTTACCCGTAACGGACGCTGTTATAATAACGTCAATTTGAAATATTTAAGATTTTGCTCTCGGATGTGATCTTGCTGCTGGTTTTGCTGAAAAGACATGTATATGTAGATTCAACTTGATTTTGCTTTTTCTCATACATTTTTCTTTAGTTTATTTGCATTTCTTTATAGTTATACAGCTTTAAGTTTTTATTGGTTTGTCTTGTTTTTTCTTTATGCACAAAGATCAACCATACTTTGCTTTTCATTTAGTTAATTTTAATAAATTTTAAGTGTTCGCTGCAAGTGTTGTACAAGTATGTATATGCATTTGTTACTTAAGTTTATATTGATTCGCTAAAAACTCAGTTTTAAAAAAGTATTCTTGTTATGTTTCGCATATTTTATTTGGTTTGCAGTGTTTAGGCCATTTGGTTAGTAAATGTTGTAATAGATTTGTTTGGATATTGGGCATAAATATGTTGCGTAAGTAAGTACGTATTTATAATTACAAATTGTAAAACATTTATCAATAAGTAATGGAAAAAATATACAAACACATCAGTTGTCGGGCAATATCATGCATGCACAATTTTTGTATTATTTTGTATTATGTTATTATTATCAATGGTTTCTGCTAAAACAAAAATTATTCCATTTGCATTTGACTTCCATTTGACTTCATTCCTAGTACATTGTATTTGCACAATATTTCAGATATCGCCATATTTAACCATTTTTTGCAAGCAAGCAAATGCATGCATGTGAGAAGAGCCCGACAGGCAGTGCAGTTTTTGTTTTTAATTTTAGAAAAAGCAATTTCTAGAATCGGTAGCACCGATATTTTTTTGTTTTTTTTTTTTTTTTGCTTGTCTTTCAATTTGATGAGCACTTTAAAAAAAGTTGGAAATTTCGTGACCCTTTTGTTGTTAAACTGTTTTTCGATTTAATATTGACTATTTTTGTTTTTGAAATCACAATATCTATGCAGAATCTTATACATCTTCCTATATAAGTATATATATATTTGGTGCATGTATACATATATATATACATATATATACACACACATATATATATATATATATATATATATATAACGCTTTCTCAAGAACTTTAGATCGTTGTCCGCTATACATGTAAATATATATTAATATATATGTATATTTATATATATATATATATAGATATATGTATATGTATAAATATGCTTAATATGTGGCATATGTAAATATTATGTAGTTTGTTTTTTGTTATGTGCCAACGTAAGGACCTCATTCTCATCTTTGCCTTCTTTCTAAAACTCGTTCACATTCCTCATGCTCATCTCAATCGTTGGGATATGCGTGGTGTTGCAGGTGTTATGAATTGAATGTTGTGGGTTGTTTGGTCTGTTGTTTGTTGTTTGTTCTTGGGCTGGTTGTACAGGCTGATCTCATATAATACATAACACTCATATGGTTAAATAGCTAATTGAAAGAACAACAACAAAATGCTGTGCAGTGCCTAATAAGTATTAAATGGATATAATTTGTTTCCCTTTTCACATTTTGGTTTTTTTTTTTTATTTTTATTTATGTTTTTTGTTTATTTTCGTTATTAATTTTCAATAATCTAATGCAAAAATTTGACTAAGCAACCCTGTATGTTTATAATGAAATAATCCGAAGCTTTTAGCCACATAATTTAAATACATACGACAATATCATATACATTGACAGCAAATGAAGCAGTGTTCTTTATATGCACTTTTTGTTTTACTCTAACTCTAACTCTATCAAGAACTACATTTACGTAGAACAAGTTCGGCAAGCAGAGCAACTCAATTGTTGGGGGACTTTAATAGTTTTGTTATAGCTTCTAGTTTGTATGTATATAATGCACATTTTAATTTGTACACTTAAAAAATATATATATTGTGTTCAATATGTATATATATATATATATGGATTTTATATCATATTATATATTTTATATATATGTGTTTTATTATATATTCTTACAAGTTCTAGGCGACGGTTGGAAAAGTCGTTTTATAAATGTTTAAGAAATTGTTTTTTATTTTTATTTTTATTTTATTTATTGAAATAAGTACATAGATATAATCGCATTTTTACTCTAGTTAATAAACACAAATGAAAACTGTTAACTATTTACCACGAATAAATATATTTAACGAATGCAAGATCGGGATTATGCACGATCTTTTTGCACAGTTTATTACTTAAAAAAAAAAGTAGGTATATATATCTGGTTAATCGGAGTAAGTCTCCATAGAGTAAACTGTAAGAACTGTATGACTGGCAGTAAGTTTTGGCGCTTTAATTCGGAATTAGTTTGAACTTAAAACGCAACGCGTCGACTTTCAAGACTTGAATTAACTAATTGTTTTACTTAAATAATTATAATTAGTGGACAAATTAATGAAATTCGCAAAATCATTGTCGGCTTGTAATTAGTGACATATATATATGTATATATATTTATATATATATATATGTATATGTATAGGGTTAGCTGTCAGTAAAAATATTACACAATTAAATTATGCTATGGACGTTTTAAAAAATGAATTAACTTAGGTATTGTATAATAATTAGTACATACATACACACATACAAAAAAGCATCAATTCAATTATTAATTTTATTATATTCTTGTGGTATTTAGTTTTAGTTGTTCGTTTTAAGCTGCTCTTGAACAAAGTTTATGTTATGCTTAAAAGTTTATGTTTTTCTTCTCCGCTTTTTCCTCCCTTTTTTTTTTTGAATTCTCAATTTCTTGTTTGTACAGGCGCATTTTATCTAGAGATTTCAATTCTCAAAATGAACAGTGCTTTCTGCATCTCACCCTCTCTCTCTTTCGCGCTCTCTATGTCTCTTTCTCAACTGTGAACACATATCTTGTTGTAAATATACAAAAATTTGCATAAATAGTTTTGATTGATTGACCAAGAGATTAGTATACGTACACTGCACAAAAACACTTGGCATAACTACACAGTGCGCAATTTGCATTCAGTTTTGATTTATCTATATATCATTTAAATGCAGCAAGCAATATGAAGCTAGTTTGATATTGCTCACTTTTAAGACTTGCATATCAAAATTGCAGCTTTCAAGTTTATTTCTTAGGTTTGGTTTCATGAACTATTGTATATATTATAAAATTAAGGACCAGATCGCAATTTCTTAGTGTCAGTTTTTCAAATGAAATGATATTCAGACACATTACAATTTCTATCGAGTTTTATTTACTACTTATTTATAATCAGAGTAAGCTGAAGATTACGATTTCGAAAAGAAATAGATATCAAACTTCTAATTTTCAAAGTGGCAGCAAGATTTCGATTGCATATTCATGAATTATGACTGGAGTTGAGACAAGAGTTTAGCCTCACATTGTTTTCGTACAAAATGAATTATTATAATTATCAACTTTTACTAACTGTCTAGGTTTATTGTTTTTACATATTTAGAACCGATTTCATTGCCATCTAAGTAGATCATAATGAATATATTGTATATGCAATTACGATTGGTCTTCATATTATTTTAAAGTCGTCGCCTCGTTTTGAGTCTGTAATTTCAGTTCTGTTTTAAGAAACTAAATACTATATCGGAGCCTGTGTTTGACAAATTATTCACTGATTCTTGCAACTTCAACACTGTGTAACTATTCAAGTGAGCCGTGGTGTATGTTTGTGTACGTTGCCCGTGAAGCGCTCATATTGCAAAATATTTGCACTGCTCAAAATTCATAAGATAGTTTTTTTTTTTGGTTTTTAAGCGAAATTGAAGACATCTGGCCACACTTAATTAGCTGCAAAATGCAATGCTGGGCCCACTTTTTCAAGGGCTATGCATACGACTACGAATACACTATAAAAGCTGTACTATTATATTATTACTTTTAGTTTTTCAATGTGCAAAACCAATTAAAATGCATACAAAAAAAAAATTACATACACCAAAAAGACACAAATTTTAACTTGCAACGATTTCGTTACAATATTATTTTCTCATTTTTGTTGTTGTTGTTGGGTTTTTGTTTTTCTCAATCGAATTAGTTTTGATTTGCTTGTAACAAAAGTAAAATAGGTGCATTCCACAGACAATTTTGATCAATCATGATTGATCACATAAAGACATATATTTGCGGAACAATAAACACAAATGTATCTTACAAATTAACTTCTGCTTGTTTCAGATGCAAAAATACAATTTTTAGCAATATTTTCTACTGAATGCGCCCAATTTTCAGATTTTTCTTTTTTATACCTCGAAAAAGATAGATCTATTTTACATTTTTAAGCAAAATAAGTATATAAACTGCGAATTTTAATGCATTTTTTGGTGCGCGTTTTTCGTTTCTTTTCTTTTTTTAATTTAAATTTCGTAAATCGTTTTTCTTTTTATTTTGCAGACACTTAAAGCAGTTTAATTTTTGTTCATTTACACACGCACACACACACACACACACATACACAGATACACACACACACGCACACGGAATTAGTTAATAAACTTGGGCGTAGTTTTTGAATGCACACAAACTGAATGAAAGCAATCTTTGGGCCAACTGCCACGCCTCTTAGACGTAGGTGGCAACGGCAGCTGTGCTCGTCGTGGCAGCGCGGTCGCCGCCGCCAGCGTTGCTGCTGCTGCCAGCGCCAGCTGCACTAGCTCCTCCAGCATTGACTCCAACGGGCTGCGGCTGCTGATGCGCTGCGGCGGAGTTGTTCAGCGGCTGTGGGCTGACCGGCGGCTGCAGCTTGCCGGGCACATACTGCCCAATGAAGGAGCCGTCCTCAGTGAACTGACCTGTGAATGGGGAATGGAGAAAACGGTTAAGACTTCAAGCCAGCCACATGGGTGCATATGTATATTAATATCTATGTTATACGCGTAAGTGTGTTAGCCATAACCAACACCAGTTTGTGTGCGAGTTTCGATTGGGTTAGTTGCATTAGACGCGATGCAGTTTTGGTAATAGATGTATATAGTATTATTTGAGGCTCTTGTTATTAGACATTTGTTGCATGTTCATGTTTCAGTTTGATTAGTCGTGTTTGGATCGTTTGTTATTTGGGTTTGTCTCGAATATGCATGTTTACAGCGCCAAGCTACAATTACAGGGTATCTAGACTACAATATACAAGCTGCATGCTTAATTAACATTACCTTGTGTTATACACGTACAAACTAAAGTTGGGTTTCGCAGGGTTTCACAGCTAAAAACAAGGTTCTTAATGCCAAATAATTATTGTAACTCAATAATAATCTATAATCGAAAAAAGTCTTCAAATGAAAAATAGACACGGCTAAAGACTAAATAAAGTGGCTTTTATACAAAACATAATATTTCCGACCAAATGCTTTCACTGAGCCCACGATATTGAAGCCCAATGCTGATGAACTTTTGCTCAGGTGTATAAGGTAGAGTAAACAAAAAAAATATATATCTAAAAATTATTCAGGCTAAGTATTTCATGCTCCAAATAATAAATAAACAAATTTTTTAATATATTTTGAAGGATAATATAAAACTTTGAAAGTATTGATGCTGATAACTACTTGGAAAATGTTGAGCTACTTAGGCACCGGAATGGCCCGGTTAAGTTTCCCACTCTCCTTTATAGATTAAGAAGTATATTTGTTTAAGTTTTATCTAGTTTCAAATCGTGATCATAGTGTGTTTTTATTATATAACATCAGATAGGCTAATGTGTCTGAAGATTTTGGAAATTGGTATGCAAAATATTCACTTCTTTTTTTTGAGTCAGAGCGTAAACCGCAATTATACACTGTTCAAAATTGTATTCAAAATGTTTTTAAGTATCGCTTGAAACGTGATCTTTTAGGAATTAGGAGTAAACATCAAATAAAACAAAAGTTTGTGACTTCCTTTTTGCCAGTGTCATAATTGAAATGTGTTTTCTGCGAAAAAAAAATATGATGTTGCTTAAATTTACACTTTAGATTTGATTGTTTACTTTTTCTTTATTTCGTTTGTTGGTTTTTCTTTCTAATATAGTAATATAAAAATGCAATATTTTTATATAGTTGTTTTGTTTGTTTAATATTAAATAGATCTACTACACACAAAAAAAAAAAACATAATATGCATTTTTCTCAATTTGTTTTTAGTTTTTCTTTTTATGCAGAAAACAAACCGTTTACAAAGTACAGTTTACAACATTTCATTAAATGTAACTGTCCAAGCGAATTGATAAAAAAATTATGTATATATAAGAAATAATAAAATAAAACATATTTCATTAAAATACATAGTACACAAAATTAAAATTATGAAACAAAACTAAAGAGGATTGGAAAAAAAATTAAATAAAATACACACGTACGCAAATTTTTTTTAAAGAAGGGAGCTAAAAAAACAGAAAATGTACATTACGTTTTTTAAACAAAATTTTAAATTAAGACTTATTTATATTATTTATATATGTATATATGCATTACATATTAAACAAGGTGAGGACAGATTTTCAGTGTAGAAGAGAGCGGTACAGTTAGAGAGCAAGCGTGTCTGTGCGTGTGTATGTGTGAGAGAAACAGAAAGAGAGCGAGCAAACAAAACACGCAGCTGCTTTATTCGAACGGTGGAAGGGAGTAGCGGCGGTGGTGGGGTGAGGGCTGGGCTTGGAGTTAAGCATTCTTGGTTCTCTGCCACTGCTCCACCCCCCCTTCGGCGACGGTGATCCTTGATTAAGCCAAGGCGCCAGAATATGTTTTTTGTTTGTTGCTTTTTTTTCTTTCTTGTTTTGTTATAATAGCCTTTTTGCTGCATCGTTGTTGTTCTTTGTTCTTTTTCTCGTTTTTGCTTGGCAGTATCATTTTTTTTTTTTAATTTTGTTTTGTTTAGTTCTAGTTTTAGTTACTTTATAAAAAATATTCGCTTTCATGTTGAAAATGAACTCGTCGCACTAAAAATTAACTTAAAAAAAAACTTTGATTTTCAATTAGAATTTTGGGCGCTGTTGATGTAATTGTTGTTGTGGATGTTTGTTGTTGTTGTTGTTGTTGTTGTAGTGGAGGGGCTCGGTTCGAATCGGTTCGGTTTATTTGTTGCTGCTGTGGAAGCCGCGCTGCTTACAAATTAAATCAAAGTCCTTTGCGTCCATATTGACCAATAAAGGAACCATCTTCGTTCATGCCTGCATTTCGTCATTTTTATAGTACAGCATTTTATTTTATATTATTTATTATTTTTATGTATTTATTTTATTTTTTTTTTATTGAGGTGTTGTTGTTTTTATTTGTTGTTGTAGGTGTCATGTGTTGTTTTACGGAGTAAACACAAAAAAACAAATTGAAGAAAAGAAAAAAAAATGGAAAAATAAGTAAATTAAATGTTGTGCAAAACGAATAAAACATAAATTAAAGGAACGAAACACAAGTAATTAACAAAACGCAAAACATTAAGCAATTATTGATGAACTGGGCCTATTGGATAAATACACATATGTATGCATACAAAGGTAAGCACATACATATACAGATATGTATTAACATAGGATCATCCACTTGCTCCGCTAAGTGTCACAAGCCAAATCGATATTGGGTCCATGTCTCTGAATAAGTTTAATTTTAAGAATTGAATTTCGAGCAATGCGACTGACTAAAAAAGCAAATCAACAAAAGCAAGCCAGCAAATGTTCTACTTATTTTATAAAGAGAAACGTGGCGTTGCCAGACTTCGTTCATAGCCCAGTTAAGTTGGCCGCACTAATTCAAAACATTTCCCTAATACTTTAAACTATTTGAAGTATTTTTAAACTCTTACAAAAATTTCTATAATAGCTCATTGCTGTTTGACAAATATATATAAGATGGACCTAAGATATATTATATAGATATTTTAACAGTCGTTCTGTTGCGGTATATTTCCATATCAAATAAAGAGTTTCAACACTTTTTGTATAGATAGCTTTGTTCAATTAAATCAAATTTGAGTCTGTTATATTTGCAATCAGTAGCTAAGGTCCTGCACCACGAATCCTATATATACCTAAATTTTTCATTTTGATTCTGTCACTATATTTTTAATATTTTCAATATTTTCCGTTTCCATTCAGGTGAACACATAAATTGAATTTCAAATATGTATAAATTGTTGCAGACTCTATAATAAAACAAGAGAATCTTGAAAATGAGTTATCAAATCGACGACAACATTTTTACTGCCATGTTCTCCAATTGTCTACTATTTCTAATGCCCACTTGGCTCGACGAGCTTTGAATGGATGATCCTAGCTCATATGCTGGCTATGCATGTGCATATAAATATAAATATATATATATATATATATATATATATATTCACAATCTGCAGCACCGATGACAGTTAGTCGTAACAACTTAGAGAGCATAGAGAGAGAGAGAGACAGAGAGAGAGAGAGAGAGAGAGCGAGCGAGAGGAGGACGCGTGCAAGAAGGTTGACAAAACGATTAAGCGAAGCGCGACGCAAGAAGCCAGCCAAAAATATATTTATATTTTTTTATTTGGCTGCAAAAACAGCCAACAGCCAAAAGATGCAGAAATGCATAAATAAAATGCCAGGCAAAGTGGCTACCTGAACGAAATGGTTGAAGAAAGATGAAGCCAACGCCGCCACCGTCGCCGCCCACAGTTAGAGTTATATGGTGTGTGTGTGTGTGTGTGTGTGTGTGTGTGTATAGTGTAGTGTGAGTTTGTGCAAAAACATAAATAATCGAGAGATGATTGTGAGACTAGGCTGAGTGAAATTGTTCGCTCATGACTTTGTCGTAGGGCGGCGGCGATGACTGCAAGTGAGGCTGGGGCAAGGTCGATGGCTGCTTGATGCCCACCTTGCGCGCAGCGGTGGCAGCATGACCGGCGGCTGTGGTCACAGCTGCAAACAGCACCAGTATCAGTGCCAACATCATCATCATCATCATCATCATCATCATCACCATCATCACCATGATCATCATCATCATTATCATCAAAAACAAAAAAGGTTGACAAAAACAAATGAAAATTTGTAATAAAATAAATTTAGAAGAAAAAGAAAGATATAAACAAACAAACAAACAATGACATGGACTGAGACACTTGGAACACTTAGGATGAACTGGAGTTAATTGTCGCTCTTACCTGTATCGCCATCGCCGTATTCGGCCATCGAATCGGTATCGCTCTCCACGCCGGGCTTATTCGCTGAACTAACGGATTGGCGACCAGCGCTCTTGTTGTCCAAACTGTAAAGGCAAATGGGTTATCGATACATTCCACACATACGAACAGCAATTGATCGATAACAATATTTGGAGTTATGCTTACGGTTGCGAGTACTCGTGAAAACCGCCCTCATCCGGATAATCGCGCCTGCCATTGGCCAGCTCGCGATCGTGCACATCATATTTGCCACCACGATTGCGACGTATAATGCAAATGATGATAAACAGGATTATGATGATGGCCAGAGCCAACATCATGCCAATGAACCAGCCGGCATTCGCCAGAGTCTCGTTGCGCACCATTATCGGTCCCTCGGCGCTGTTCGTATCAATTTCGTGTGTGGCGCTCTCCGTGTGATAATGTCCATCGACGGACACAACGCGGAACTCGTAAACTGTATCCGGATCGAGGCTGCCCACCTCTTGATAGTCGACTGATTTCTCGGGTTCTTTGTTAATCCATTCCGTTTCGCCCTTGATTCTGTTAAAAATCAATTATTAAGTATTTGGTTTTAGCTTGAATGTTAATGGTTGATCTAGGTATTGCAATAATTTAATCTAACTGTTCAAGATTTGTTTTAAGAACGGAACCAGTTCGAAATTGTTCGCACAGCATTATATTGAACTAGATAGCTAATTCACATCCTGTACTTGCCTGTACTTGGTGAAGAAGTGTGAGCCCGAACGGCCATCAGTGCTGGGCACCCAATTTATACGGTAGGTGGGTTGACCATTCGGCGACTGGATCGGCTCCCATGTTAGGGATGGTGTGGATGGCGGCTCAACATCTTCGCCCAGTGTGGTCTTCTCGATGTAATGCCTGGAATCAGGAGAAGCAAATTAGAGAAACGGTACAAATGAATAGTCAGACGGAGAACGAGAGGAATATCTTACTCGGTGCCCTCGCCCATTTTGGTTGTGGCTGTGATGGAGATGCGATACTTGGTCTTCGGTTTCAGACCGGCCATTTTCATGCGTGTAATGCGAGGATCGGTGATATGGGGTTCATATTCGCGTCGTTCGCCCACATAGCTGCCCTTGACCACCTCATAGTAGATTTTGTAGCCAGTCAGCTTGCCATTGGGATTGAGCGGCTTCTTCCAGGTTAGCCAGAAGGCTGATGAGCCCAGCGGATAAGCCTCCAGAGATTGCACTGATGACGGCACACCCTCGGGCGTGTCAAAGTCAATCACAGCGCTGGGCGGTCCATTGAAGCGACCATTGTAAGCCAGGACGCGGGCATAGTTCTTGGAGTCGGGCTTGAATTGTGTGACGAGCGCACCGTTCTGGATTGTGTGTATTTCACGGAGCCCCTCTTCGCCCTCCTTGTCCGTCCAGGTTTGGATCTTGTAGCCCTTGAAATGGCCGCGCACCGATTCCGGGCTAACTGGATTCCAGCCGACATAGGCATGGGTCGCACTGGTTACTTGCTGCATGCTGAAGTTAGTGGGTGCCTCGAGGGGACGGTCCTCGCCAGAGTAGCCGATCACCTCCTCCGCGTCAACATTCGATTCACCGCGCTCATTGATGGCCACCACCTTGATGTGATATTTGACGAATGTCGGCTGATCGGGAATCAGCAGATTGTTCTGGCGCCAATCATAGATATCCTTGTTCTCCCAGGTCGCAGCGGGTATGTCACGCTTCCAGCTGACACGATATTGGAAGTTGGGAGCATTGTGTTCAATCTCCGGCATCGGTGTCCATGTGATGACCAAATTAGTTGGCTCTGTGCCCTGGCCGACAACGTTGTCCGGATTCTTGTACGGCACATCCGGCTGTGTGGTGCACGCCTCGCTATGCCCCGACGGCGGCGATGGGCCGATCTTGTTGAAAGCAATCACACGGTACGTATAGTTGGCCCACGGCGACATTTGCAGTACAAATGAGAAGTCTGTGCTGGGCACCTTCTCGTATGCCGTATCCCAGGAGGCGGGCGTGAACGAGGTATTGAACTGGATCGTGTAGTGTAGAATGGGCGAGCGATTATCACCCTGTGGCTCCCAGGAGATCTTTGCCTTATCGGCTTGGCATATGATGCCTATCAAACGGGGCGCATTCGGCACATCCTGCACTATAAGATTTGCCTTGGCCGTGGCCTCGTCCAGTTGAGTGCGCGCAACGCACGTGTATTCGCCCGAATCCAGTTCCATGGTTTTGGCAATTGTCAGCGAATTGTCGTTGGTCTTGACAAATCGTGCCTCTGCATCAAAATCAATCGGTTGGCCATCCTTTAGCCATTCGATCTCCAGGTCCAAGGTGTCATCGTGCGCTTCGTTGCAACGGAATGTGGCCGATTGGCCGGCGGCGACCTCATAGTTTTGCGGCTCCTGTGTTATCCTGGTGCGCTCCTTTACCACCAGTGAACCCTCGGCCGTCGCATTGCCAAACTTGTTGACCGCCAAACAGGTGTAGTTGCCGTTGTCAGCGAAGGTCACCTCCTGTATCTCCAGATCGCCCGATGGCAGCACATTGTAACGACCACCGGTCAGCCAGTTATTATTGTGGCGCCATTTCACCTGGGGCTTGGGTGCACCAAAGACGCGACAACGCATTGTGATGTTGCGTCCGTTGACGGTGGCCTCGGCACGTGGTGGCTCCTGGATCTCTGGGGGCAGTGCGAGCACATTTAGGTACACATCCTTGTAGACATAGCCAAGGGAATTTGTGGCGTTGCAGCCATAATTGCCCGTGTCCTTCTTTACCAGATTCACGATCTTAATGTAGTTGTTGGTAACGGTGCGTCGAGGATTTGGTTCGCTTTGCGCAATCGGCTTGCCATTGTGTATCCATTGAATGGTCGGCTCCGGATGTCCGGCGGCCTTGCAATTGAATATGACCTCCTCATCCTCGGCGGCATTTTGTATCTCCGGCTCCTCGGTGAAGTAGGGTATGGCATGAATTTTCAAATTGATCGAATAGGATTGCGCCTGGTCCACACCATTGGAAACGTCACAGTTGTAGGTGCCCTCATCGTCGAAATTGGCCTGCCTAATCACCAGAGATTTACCATAATTGCCTTGGGTAATGCGATCGTTCCATTCCACCCGTTTTCCATCCTTGTACCAGACGGTTTGCGGCAACGGTGTGCCGCCATAAATGCAAAACAGTTCGACACGTTTGCCGCGCAGCGCCACCTCGTTCTTGCGGGTCACATACTGACGCTTGGGCGGATAACGATTCTGGGATGCACTCACGCCCATCTGCTTGACGTCCAACAGTATCTTATTGCCGATCTTGTACTCGTTGCGGAACACTGACGTTGCCGAGCAGGCATACCAGAAATCGCCGCTGGCATCATCGCGTGTCACATTGGAGAACCAGAGTGTGCCCTCCGGGTCGAGGGTCATGCGTGAATTGTTGATCGACTTAATGCCCGCATCGATGGTCTGCTGTATCAGCCAGTTGACAGTGGGCTTTGGCCAGCCATCGGGCGCCTCGCACTGCAGCGAGAATGGTTCACCCTCGACGGCCTCAACGCTGCGGGCTGCCTCGTCCTTGAACGCATTCAGCTCCGCCTTTCGCACAAACACCGAATTCGATGTGGCAACGCCAAACTCATTGGAGGCAAAGCACTGATACTGTCCCAGATCCTCATCTTTGGGTGATGTGATCACCAGTGTGCCACGTCCTGGCTGGCGCAGCATACGATTGTCGTACGCCTGCCAGTCAAACTTCTTGCCGTTCTTGATCCATCTATATCTGTAAATAGTTAAAGCAAATGCCAATTCTATGAGTCAAAAAACTATATTACGTTTGGGTATGTTTTCTATTTAAAGACAAGGCAGATCGTGTCGGGCGTGCCCGACTAGTAGATATATTAATAGCTTTTTTAATCCCGGCGATCGATGGGTTCCTAGATACGGCTGGACCGCTGGACGGACATGGCTAGATCGCCACGGAAGTGTCTCCTTATGGCTCTTACATGCATTTGCACAAAACCCATTATCAATGGGTCTAAGCAGCGACATTTTCATGACATGACAATTACCCACTTAAACTAGTCAAAATGCAATGTGTACCGTATTAATGAGGTCTTCGAATATTCCTATTAGAGCCACATGATATAGTAGAGCAGCTACTTATATGATACGGCTTTGCCATGCATAAGACTTTTAGTTGAATTTGATTAGGTTATTATAGCTGTAGGCAGATTAAAGAAATAACTAATTAGCTTAAACAGCAAGACATAGATGAGTTTTCATTTGTGTTTCCTGGTTGGGGAATTGCGACTCATTAAGTGGCGGCGCTCTAACAAGTTGATTTCCACATTTAATTTGACTTAATAAACCCACATATTTCTCTATATATTGCTTTTCGCTTCTTTCATGGCGTTCCTTGAGCGATGAGACATATCATATATGTACATATTATAATTATGACAACTTGTTTAATTTCCAATTGCGAAAGTGGTTCATTCAAGCCTAGGCACAAGAGGCAGACGGAAGGGGGGGGGGGGCTCCAGAGGGAGCATCTTATACGCCTCTCAGCTTGACGTAATTGCAATTAAGCGCAAAGGAAGTTAACGAGAGCAACAACTCATCGTATGCCCATTTTTTAAATCATTTTTCGGAAATTTTTCAAGTCATACTCTTTTTCTCTCTCCCCCTCTCTCTCTCTCTCTTTTTCTCTATCCATGTATAGCACTCAAAAACCCAAGTCAATTATGCGAACTGCTCGGTGCTTGAGCTTGTTAAGCGTTGAATTTTTTTTTTCTTAGTTTTTTTTTTTTATATTTATTTGACTTAAGCGGCAGCCGAGACATCGAATCGCTACTCACCTACCGACCCCGACCCCGCCCCCGCCCCCATCGCTGACAGCAGCTGCAGGTCATGGAATAGGTCAATCATTTGAATTGTTTTTAAGTGTTGTAAGTTGCAGCGCAGCCACTAAAAAGGGGGCAGAGCTTGAGGCTGTTGAAAACTATGGCTCTGGGTTTGTTGAACTTGTAAATTTGTTGAGGCTTGTAACTGATTTCAAATTCATCCACAAAGTTGCAAGTTCTAAAGTTTGTTGTGGGCTACTTTCAACGAATTTCAACTATCGCCTGAAGAGATTTATTGCTTGAAGATAGTGTTGCATAACGATTGAAAGTGTGCCAGTTATCAGCACTGATTTTTATACATATCGCTAATAGAAGAAGAAGAAACAATAAATGCTGCGGAGCTTTTATTTATCCACTTGTTAGTTGGAATGTGAAGAGATCTTTTCTTCTGCGGACGAACATATATTAATATTGCAATATTGCTGATGTACTTTTAACTATCGGCTAAAATATGGAACGGAAAAAACGGGAAAACCATGAGAAAATGTTGGCACGGTAAAAACTAAGTTCTTCCTCTGTTCTAACTGAATGTTGTGTTATTTGTCTAATAGTATCTTAATCTACAGTGCAAAAGGTTTCTTTTATTTTTGAATTTGTACGTTTTTTTTTTATATATTATAAAGTTTGAAACGTTTACGAATGCAGCACACAAAAGAATTGAAAGCAACAAAACTGTTTTGTCGCTAGAGAAAAATAGCAAGAAACTGCACGTTTATACGTAAAACGTGTTCGTACAAATGGTATGCCATTTATCTTGTTCACAGGGGATGTCAGTCTGTTAGTTCCCACATAAATCCATAGCAATGCTTATGTTACGGCATGACAGGACATGCAACATAATCGAGTGTTGCCGTGTTGCATTTGCATTTGCGTTGCCAGCTCTTGACTCAATTGCTGCTGTTGCTGTTGCTGTTGCCAGGGCGATGGCGATGGCGATGGCGATGACGATGACACATTAAGTTGGGCGGACAAGCCCATGGGTTAAGCATAGGCTAACCCTCAGTTAACCCCAGTCAATAAATACAACTGCCCGAAGCGCTGACTCAGTACGCCCAACAACCCCACAGCCCACGGTCCCCGTCCTGTATACCCTACACACACTCTGTTTAGTTCAGTTCAGTTCAGTTCAGTCAACCAAGTCGGCGACGCTGACGCTAACGCTGGCGTGTCACCATCAGGCAACACCATCAGCATGAAGGCAGTCAAGCGGGCAGGTGGCGGCAGCTGCCGTTGCTGCTGACCGACAAAGTTGAGCAGCCCGGGCCAACACTAAGGCCAGCCAAATGTGCAGCGGGCCCAGACACAAACAGCTGCTGACTTGGTCTGGAATCCCTTGCGTTATGTATGCAACTTCCTTGAGCCGGCTGGTTATGTGTGTGTGTGCTTTTTGTTGTGCTGCCTGCTTGGCTGCCACTTAACCCCAGCGACTTTATGATAGTTTTTCCGACGGTTGCTCCTTGCCAGCTATCTCTCTACAGACAGCCAACTCAACTCGGTGGGCTGCCTGGGCTAAGTAAATGCGATTAAAATCTCTATAGAAATTGCGACGAGCCAGCGGACGTAGCTGCTCATGGGCGGGGCAGGCGTTGCGGGCAACTGTATGAGTCATCCACAGCCAGTGATGGGTCGTTGTAATTTGCATAGAGGGGTTGCAAAGCCCAACAGCAAAAAAAAAAAAAAATTTGAACCAAAAACAAAAAAAAAATGTATTTAACAAAATGCCATAGCATACTTTCTTGCGCATTACTGTACGGCTGTGTTGGAGGCTATGAAGTGGCACGCCCCTTGCGGCTGCTTTCATCTGCATGTAGCATGTAGCATGTGGCATGTGGCATGTGGCATGCGAATGTGGCGCCCTAACCCAGTTATATGCACATACAAAATGCCAGTTGACTGACTGCCGCTTTGAACTAAACAACAGCAAGGAAAAGAAAAGAAACGAAAACCACAAAAAAAAAAAGAAAATAAAACGGAAAACAAGAAGATTATATACACATACAAATTGGCGGAAAAAAAAAAAACACAAAGAAAGAAAAGGCTACAGCCATGGCCCTATAAAAGAAAAGCAAATGGTTCGTACATTTAACTACATCACGTTTCGTATAATCGGTTTTTAAATGTGCGTTATTTAAGAGGCAGGTTTTCCATATGCTTCGCAGTTTGGCATGTTTGGCCAACGTATTCCCTGCCAACATTTTTTATTATACTTTTAAGCCTTATACTTCTTTCTATCTACACAAACTTACGCCCAGACATTCAGGTATTTGTACTGACAAAGCCCTCAAATGGTATAGGCATTAAATTGCCGTAATATAAAATTTATCTGTTATATTTTATGGTAATCAATAATTGAATATATGTATGTTTTTTGATAATACTGTGTCGATAATCACTTGAGCACCTCGCTGAATTTCGACTTATTTGTCAAGCTAAAAGTTCGGTAAAGTTTCTTGGAATTCGCACCTAAGCCAATAAGAAAGTATATAAAGCCGACTTTGGGTAAAGCATGAATTTTTATAAAAAACGACCCAGTAGCTATTCCAGCCAGTCCGTTGAGGCAAGTTACAACTAATTTGTGATGTTGTCGACAGGAAACGCCAAACTTTAAATGGCCCACCCGCTCCATTCGGCTGACTGGGACATGGGTCTGGGTAACTTGAGCTTGGATCAGGCAGCATATGGATGGCGCCGCGAAGCAAACAAACGTTAGCTAGTTAAGTATATATATTATATATATATATATATATATAGAGAGAGAGAGAGAGAGAGAGAGGGCGAGAGAGAGGGAATCAGAGAACCAGGGAGTGGATATAGAAGACTTCGCTGGGCTGTGTATTTTGTGGGTATTTGCGGCTCAAGGGTTGGCAATGCGCATTGTGTACAGCGAAAAGCTTTTATGCCAAAGTTGTGTGTGTATATCCCTCAAAGTGGAGCACAATAGAATTGTCCAAAAAAAAAAAAAAAAAAAAAAAAAAAAAATGAAAAAAGAAAGAAGAATAAAAATAAAGTTGTGAGGGAGGTGCGGCGTTTATAAGGGAGCTGTGACTTTCACAGAGAACTGGGCGTGCCCGGGGTCGCGCGTTGACACTCTGTGCATGTCAAACGTGCAATGACACCAAAAACGCCGACAAGGACCTCAACATGAAACCGTCTCCAAGGTATCAACAACAACAACAACAACAACAAGAGGGCGTTGGTCATAAAAATGGGACACAAGTTTTAGTTGACATTCTTGTTGATATTAATGGGTCGCTAACATGCAAACAGGTTATATATATATATATATATACTTCCGAGAAGTCCAATACGCTCATCGCACGGAAGGCGTACACAATTAGCTGAGGTCTTAGCAACAGGAAGGCAAATAGCTTTAGTTAATTATAGAGCTAACCTTTTCTTTGGGCACAAAACATTTACAAGCCCGTTGATAAAAAGCTCAAAAGATAGTTTTTGTTGTTATTTGAATGAAATAAATCGATTAATCGATCAAAACTATTTTTATAAGTCACATATCAAAGCTTCGTTTAGTTAATCTACTCCAACTCCATTCGGTTACGCCCATTGTGGGCGTACCCTAAGCTACTTATCTTATAATGAAATGCTCTCGTTTACACCAAGCTTCAGCTTTAGCTGAACTTTCAGTATTTAGTTTACTTTTCCCACTTTAAATTCGTTTCATCATTCATTCACGAAAAATACAAATATATACCCTGTACAGAGCGCCGAATTCCAATCAAAGGGAAGCTCTTATGATTCTCGAGCTATACTTAAATATCGAGATAAGTAAATGATAAGCTCTTGCCTGCTTTGGCCTGGAGTTACCCACCTTTTACAGTCTGTACAGGGTATATAAATGGTGGTTCCAGTCGTGTAAAAT